TGCACCACTCAGCTTGGTGTCATTTGCAAACGTGATGAGGGTGCACTCGATCACACGATGTCATTGATGAAGATATTAAAGAGTACTGGACCCAACAATGGACCCCTGAGGGATACTGCTCATCATTGATGTCCATCTGGACATTGAACCATTGACCACTACCCTCTGGGTGCAACCATCCAACCAATTCCTCATCCACCTAACAGTCCACCCATCACATCCATCTCCCTCCAGTTGAGAGAGAAGGCTGTTGTGGGGGACCATGTCAAAGACCTTTCAGAAGTCCAGACAGATGACATCAGTAGCTCTTCCTTTGTCCATAGATGTGGTCACTCCATCATAGAAGGCCGCTAGGTTGGTCAGGCAGAACTTGTCCTTGGTGAAGCCATGCTGGCTGTGTCGAATCACCCTGTGGTGCACTTGATCCCATTGTCTATGTCATTGCTAAAGATATTAAACAGTACTGGTCCCAGTATGGACCCCTGAGGGACACCCCTTGAGAGGGATCAAGCGGTGGATTTCAAGTGTGCAGCAGTCTAATCCAGTATTGGATGTGGCCCATAGATGCTGTTATAATGAGGGCCATGTCATTGCTTAAGTCAATTTTATGGTTGCTTGGTTCAGGGTGCCTTGCCTGGTTTTTGATTTCTTTTATTTTTTTGTAACTGATTTTATTTTAATTGTCACTACTGAAATTTAATCTGCAAAAAAACAATGTCGTTGTGTACTGCGTGAGCTAGTGCTGCTCAATTTGCAGTTCTCTGCTGGTATTTAGTCATAGAAGTTAGCAGGAGATACAGTTTCTCCTCCCGTTCTCCGGGTTTGTTCGGAACATCATTGTAGAATAAATCTGTTTTTCTTCATTGCTATTCAAATGATGTGTCCCAGACACATTGATTAATCTCTAAATGTGGTCTGCTGAGATGGAAGATAACTACACTCATTTCTATTGTTCTAATTCTGAGCAGAGTCTGTTACAATAAATGGTGCAATATCTATTGAATTTGAGCTGAAAGGTAGAAGTAATGTACAGATTTGACTCGTGGCATTGTCATGTGGATTTTTTTTTCTTTAGTGGCCTTCTCTTTAAATCCAGAACATACTCTTTATTTCAAAAAAATGTCATAAACTGATAAGCACTGGCAACTCAATGTGAGCCAGTAATTCTTAAAACTTGCTTACAATTGTCTTTTACAAAATCTGTCTTCAAATTAGTTTTGTTGGGGCACTGAAGCCTCAGGAAATGTAGTTTGTTTTGCTCTGACTTGCATTTTTTTGTTCCGCTTTTGCAGGAGTTTTTTGAGAATCCTGCTTTTCGCCCAGACGGCATGAAGCTCTATCCCACACTAGTGATCCGTGGCACTGGTCTGTACGAGCTCTGGAAGACTGGAAGATACAAGAGCTATCCCCCCAGCACTCTTGTGGACCTGGTGGCCAGAATCCTGGCCCTTGTCCCGCCATGGACACGTGTGTACCGTGTTCAGAGGTAATTTTCTGTTGTGGGCCTTGTATTGCTGCGGGTGAAGTTTCCTATATTTATTGCAGGAGCTGCAAGGCGTGTCATTTTTTTTTGGCTATAGAGACTTCCTTTCTTTCCCTGTGGGTGTTGCAGGGTTGTCATAAACATGCTACGGTCATGCCATTATTTCCGGCACTCACCTCCCGGGGCAGTAGATAATACTTCCATTTAGCACTGCATTTTCAGTGTGGGGTCTTCCTTGGATTATTTTTCTTCTGTTATCTCCTCCATCTGTCTGATATTAGGAAGGGAGGCTATAGCATACTTGCCTATTTTTGCATGTGCAGACAATACTCAGTTGGCTTCCAGCTACGTGAGCTGGAAACAGTGCCAGTGCCTAGCTCCCCAGAAGCACGCAGAATGAGAAAGCCATGTGCATTAGACCTCAGCTGCCTGGACTTCTCCAAGGTATTTGATTTTGTGCCCTACCAGAAATGTGACGGAGCAGGGATAAGCAGAGGAACGTGGTAGAGAGGAAAGTGGCTGAAGGCAAGAAACGCTGGGTGGCTTTGACAAAGAAAGTATGGACTCAGGGTTATTAGTGGAGTTTCTCAAACATCCATTTAAAAACCCATCTTCCTCAAAATTGTATTTATTTACAATGACACAAAAAGTAAGAGGGCACTGAGGAAGCCTCGCAGGGCTGGGAAGCATCACTGAAAGAGAGAGGATGCACAAGCAGCATCTGGTGGTCGTGAAGCTGGAGTGATAGAGATGGGATGAGATGTGGTTCAAGGAAGTTTGAGGTCAAATTCGGCGGGGGGTTTGCTGCAAACCATGAGATCACCATGTGAAAATAGCAGAGGAGGAAAAGTTCTTAACGTCTTGGTCTGTAATATGAATAAGCCACTGGTGAATGCAGCTGTGAAAATAATTTTTTTCAGGATATCTCTTTTTAGAGACGAAAGTATTAATGCAGCAGCCAAGCAAGGCTTTGGTAAGACCTTATCTGGAATAATCCCCATCTTCAAGAAAACTAACTGTGGAAATGTATAGAGGAGCATCAATCTTTTGTTTGAAGGATAGATGTGGACGTAAAATGACCTCTGTAAATCTGTGAGAGAAGGAAAATAACCTTTTAAGAATTAGAAACGTTGATTTGGGCAGAGAAGAAGAAAACAAGAAGTAGCCTTGCGTAAAACGAGGTAGGAAGCTGGGAGTTTTCGGTCAGGATGGAGATTTTGGAATAGCTTTCCAAAGTTACCGAAGAGGAAGAGAAGGTAAATATAAATATGGTGAAGCTTGATTAGGCTTATGAATGTGATTGTGATACTGCAGTCTGGAGTAACTGAGACACGGTTTCAGCGACCAGGAGATCGTTTCTTCAGATCTTTGTTACTGTGAGAAATGGGTGGCTGTAGCTGAACTCTGAGAAGAAGGATGCGATACTGATGAAGAAACCGTAACATGGCTTATGGGAAATTTGTACTTGATACTCCCCCAGGCTTCTCACGTCGCTTGTAGAAGCATTATTAAAGGCAAAACTCCTACCTTTTCTACCTGCGCATCTTCTTCATTGATTCCACTATAGGCGCAATGGCCTGTTCGTTCATGATGCTATCACCATAGCATCTTATCTAAAACAAACAGGTTTATTCTTAGAGGACGGCATGAGTTTGCAGCCTAGCAGGTCTCCTAAGGAGCACAGGCCTGGAAAAGTCTTGGCTTGCTGTGCTGATTTGCCTGAGCTTGACTATGTTTTCTTCTGTCAACAGTAGCAGCCTTCATCCAGCTGTCATCCAGTTGTCAGTTATTATGTTCTGGTGGAATAGCTGTTTTCTTACTGCCTGGCTCATGTTATCTGAAACTTTTTCGTGGTGATTACAGATTTTTACACCTGCAGTGCAAAGTCCAAAAGTTATTACTTTGATCTAAATTGCTTTCAGGGCCATTGTGTGACTCTGTAACAGAATAATGAAGACAACCAGATTTCTAAAAACATTTGTGGCCTGTTCCCAGCACTGCTTCACTGAGGACAGCAAGTTTTTCCCCATTCTTCATTGCTGCCCAGGCCCCTTCCGTCTCCCTCCAACCTGCTGCCACAAGTCCTCCATCCTTCACATCTTGCATTTCAGGCTTTATTTCCCCAATCCTTTCAGATTCAGCTTGTGCTTCACACCCAGGTTATCCCAAGCTCTCTGCACACTCCCTGGCCATTTGATACGTGCATTCCGGTTTTCTGGCCACCACCACCAGAAAAAGACTAAGCTATCTACGCCCTACCTCGTTAGTACCGCTGTTTGGGAGCTCTGTTCCCTAGTACCAGGCTTTGAGGAAACATTAGGGACTCAATGTTTTTGCAGTCCGACACATGCTCAAATTAATCAGTTTAATGAGTTGGGTGAGCATGGGAGAGGTGTCACTGACAAAACACTGTAGAAGTCTTTCTGCTTCAGGAAACCAGGTTAAATATGTTAAAAAAAAAAAAAAAAAGAAGAGATGCTGTTGCTAATGGCTGGGTGGAGAAGGATATATCTTCCAGGGTGTTTTGTAGCTGTCAGAGATGCTTAATACTGTATTTATCCTGAGTGTTTGTGAACCTTATTATCACCGAAGTGCTTTGGAGTGTGAGAAGGTGTGAAATGACAGGAGTAGTGCCACGCACCTTGAGACTTTTTCTTTCGTGGATCTCGGTGTTTTATATGAATGTTATTTTCACTGTACTGATGGGGTGATGTAGGTATGAAGAAATAAAATACCTTACTCAACCGAGATCATGTAATAAGTCAGAGCTGAGAGCAGATTCAGGGTCTTTAGAATTTCACTGTGTGCTTCAATCAGCTGCTTCACAAGTGTCCTAAGTAATGCAAAATGTTTGAAAAATAGCAGATTAAATCGGCCTTGTTGAAGCTTCTGGCAAATTGCACATTAACTTTAGTAAGGTCAGGATTTAATCCTCCATATCCCTGAATTTGTTTAGCATTTTAACAAGTGCTAGAATCACTGGTACAGTGCTGTCTCGTGGCTATTCAAAATAGGCAGTTAGTGTGTGCACTCATGATGCACACAGGGTACTTATTTAAATACTCTGCCCTAATATGAAGTGGGGGTGGAAAACCTGTTTCTTGCTTTCTCTTTCTTAAAAAGCTTATTTCTCACATTCATATTTTAATTTAGTTTGCCTCCTAGTAGGCAGATGAGAGAGGCTCAAGTTACTGTATGTTGTAATCTATCTTTTATTTGCAGTATTTCATTTACTATTTCAGAGCTGACTCTGGATTTAGCTAAAGACCTGGTCCTGGAAGATGTCAGGATGTTCTATCTGTGTCTCTGCAGGGAAAATACATACAGCCTGATTTTTGATGGTGTTCCATAATTAGAAGAAAGGCGTTTAGTTAGATTATCACTGTAGATCTAACATACCCTGATGAAAATGCCATTCTCCTCTAGTGTCTCCTTTAGTCACAATGTGAAGTGCTCATTTCCTCTAATTGAAACTCTTTGAAGTATGTTGTGTTGGCTCTGCAGTGTCTTATTTACTCAAAGAAATTCACTGAATAAATGAACTGGTTAGCTAATGGTATTTTGCCTCGACTTTTTGGCATGTGAGTGTAAGAGGCAAGGAATTTTTCATAGACCCTTTGGCCTTATAGAAAAAAGAGCAGGGAAAACAGGGGAGGAAAGTAACACACCGGACCTCCGTTACGTTGGAGAAAGTTATACGGAAATTGGAGTGTGATGCCGAAACCGGAGGAGAATCCTGGCGTCTGACACCCTTGTTCTCATTCCTAACTTAAAGGAAAACTCGTTTTCTTGCCCCCGCCTTGCCAGTATCTCAGGCTTCTGCAAGGCTGAAGCAGCACAAGGATCAGATCTTTAGGACCCTTGAAGACCTTTATCTTTTACATAGCTACTGCCAGAAATAGTAATTGTTAATGGGGCCGTGGTGTGAATGCAAGTCCTCAAGGAACTGAATAGATCAGTTAATACATTTTATAGAGGTCATCAGACAGCTGCTAGATGGTGATGACTTTCAATCACTACTGAACCAAGATGGATTAAGCTAATTACATTACCAATTCCCTGAACTATCCCATTCTCTGTGTGTTTTTTGGTGATATTCTGTTCTTTGCTCTGTTGAAAGCTTGCACAGATAAAGAAAAAGAAGGAATACTCACCAAGGAATGTTTGAGCCCCGTTTTGAGACCCAACCCCTTATACAATTTACTGAGTATTTTTCATACTTGTAGAGTCCTTATTTCCCTGCAGAAGGTCTGAGGGGGTCTGGATTACACAGCAGTGCACGTGGGTGCTGTGTTATCAGAGGTGCCAGGGTGGAGTTGGAGCAGGGGGAGGGAGAAGCATTTGGAATCGCCATGTAGCGCAGCATTAGATAGAAGGTGAGCGTGGAGCGGGATGTGCCGATAATCCGCATGTTTCTTTTTAAGCTTGATCTGGATGCGTAAATCCTCCTTCCCCTAAGGGACGGTATCCTGCTTTCGTAATCTCTAGAGGGACAAACTGCCCTGGAAGGCAGTGGAGAGACCAAACCTGGTCTCGCTTTCATTTCATTGTAGTACCTCCCTTGGAGAACTGAAGGAAGGAGTTCTGCCATTTGCAGACTCATGATTTACATTCCCATTGGAAGGCCCTAAACTTTCTGGCTGGGCTTTGTTGCAAATCATTTGCTAAACAGAACTTCTTCACTTTTAAGCAGCTAGCGTCCCAGTGTAAAAATGTTGGCGTTCTGATGAATTTTTGCTGACGGACATTCAAATCGGAGGCTGCAGAAAGACACTGTCTGCTTCCCAATGGCTGGTCTCCAGCAACAGAGACCGTGAAGAACATCTGACCTGGAGTCCCAGGCGAGGCACAGGCTTGTCTGGATGATGTTTTTTTTCCCCAGACTTCCAAGTGAAGAACTGAGAGCAAAATTACAACCTCTTTCTCAAGATTGTAAAAACCTATTTTTGTCTTCAGTCTTTTTACTAAAATAAAATCTGTAGCTTTTTCTCTTCATTTTTCTCCTGCTTTCAGTTGTGTTTTGCCTGTGTTATTTCTTGTTCAACCAAAGACTTGAAACAAAGGTAATTCGCAGAAGATCTATTGCCTAGCATTTGGGATCTTGGCCTAGGTGACCATAATCATACTTTATGGTGTATCTGCTATTGCAGTTGTCTGAGGTTTTTGTTTTTCCTCTTGTATGCAGAGATATCCCAATGCCACTAGTCAGCTCTGGAGTGGAGCACGGGAACCTGAGAGAGCTCGCCTTGGCCAGGATGAAAGATCTTGGGACACAGGTAAAATATTTGTCAGTTGGTATTGAGGGAGAGCTGCTCGATGACTTTACGCAAAGCAACAGAGGGGAAAGTACTGACCAGAAGACACGATAAGAGCCAGGTTTACTGCTGAACTAAAAAGATCTGCAAAGGTCTTTCAAAAAAATGTTAAATGACTAAAAAGCACCTTGGTGATACTTCTCAAAAGCTGTTTTTGTTTGGTTGATTTTTAGTTTAGCACTTTCACCTCTTTCCTGAAGGTACTTGGTAACTAGTTTGAGATATTCCATTTTTTAACAGAATGAAACCCTTAAATCAGAGAGAAGGCAGGAAGGTTTCTTTTTAATTTATGCTGTTAGGAATTCTCCTTCCTTTCTTTTTCCCACGCATGCACTTACTTGACTGAACAATTGGAAGAAAAGCTCTTAGTCTGAGGCCAGAGAAATCTTGCAAAAGAGATTTCAGCACAAACAAATGAAATTTGGTATTCTTGATATTTCTGAGGTCAAATAAAAATATGAGCGGGAGTGGAGAGGAGGAGGGAGAGGAAGAATTGTGTTTATGTTTGAAGTCAGAAGGAGGTACGTATACCCAGTCTTGATTTTTCTCGGAAGGTCGCTGCAACAGTCAGCATTCACATGGTCTGCTCTGACGCTGCTCCCTGTTTGAACCTCGCTCCGAAACCCAGTTATCAGCCACAGTTTGCGGATCCTCCAGTGAAGTTATGCCCGAGTTCTTCCTTTCTTGGATGCCCAACTTCCTAGACAAAACATCACACAAACCTCGTGCTCCTAGAGACTCTTCCAAAGGGCTTTAATTGTTGTGGTTTCATGGTGTTCAGGCAGGGGCAGATCCTTACCACGACTGTTCCATGTTCCTCTTTTGTGGTTGAGCGCTCCCTCTTTCTAGCTCACCTTTTCTTGAAGAGTTTTTAAGTCATTACTGCATCCAGCAATAACAAAATTTTCAGCTACTGTGTGAGTGCCTCTAGGCCCACATCAACTTGTGCTGCTGACCTGTATTGTTGGTATTTAACATTTCTCTAGGCTTCATCTAGCTCCTTGCTGCCTTGGCCATCTCACTTGGATCTTGCAGTTGCAATACAAGAAATCAGAAAAGAAACTCCAGACTGTCTTCCTTCCAACTGGGCTTTCCGTACCACTTAATCTCTCCTAAGCTTATGCCCTGGACTTTCTCCTTAAATCATTCCTCCCAGTCTCTCTCCAGTAGCAAGCCGGGATTTGGCAGACTGCTTTGCCAGCCGTGGAAGCTTCCATCCCTCCTGCTGACTTTTCACTTCAAAACCAGGCAGGGGAGACAATCTCCGTTAGTGCAGCTGAGCCTTTTCAATTGAGCTCTTTAGGGCTACTAGTGAATTCTTTCCTGGGTTTGATATTAAACCACATCATTTGATCTGAACCTGATCAAGACCAGCTGGAGAAGCAGGGAGAGCTGATCCACGGCAGTCAGGGCTGAGCTGAACCATTAAAGGGCTTGTCAGGCTGGCAGTCATCACTTTGAGAAGAACCAAATCTGTAAATATCTCTGCTGTGCAGATGATTATAGATTTTAATTCAATGAGGCAGAAACACTGCAGCTGGTGGAATGAGGAACCAGTCTGCTGCGATATAGCTTGAAATGTAAGGTACTGTTGTGTTTTTCTTGTGTCATAGAAGAAAACTATAAATATGCTTTGTCCTCTTGTCTTCTAGCTTGGAAGAGGAGAGGAAAAGGCCAAGGCAAGGAAGCAACTTTCAGGAATCATGTATTTGCAGGCTTAATAGTAAAGATCAGCCAGCTCAGCAGCTCTGGCAGTTCTGGCATCCCTCTTTGGGAATGGCTTGGTGAGGAGTGCGTTTGAGGGATGGGGATCAATCATGCCAACACTGCAACTTGTGTCTGTGGCTGTTGGAAAGAAATTGTTCTTGAGGAGCCTTGTTGGAGGAACCAGATGCTGGCCTTCATGATTGCCAGCCGCTGAGTGCAAGTGGAGATACGCAGCCGGGACACAGAATTTTAAAGGAGCATCCCAGAATACATTGTCCTTCCTCAGTTTTGGGGCTCTTGATGAAGAGTGGCTATTCCTCTGCCTTTTACTGTGCTGTTTGAGTAGCTGGGAAATTGTAAAGCAGGTCAGAGTTTGTCTACTCTAAAACTACAGTGAATCTCAGTTTTATCATAGCCCGCTATGAAACAGACAAAATAACTTTTTTCTGCTATTTGGGAGATTGATGCTTTATATCAATAATGTAATTTAAAAGCATCCAGAGTAGGACAGGGTATGAGACAGAGCTGTGCTTGTTCTGGGTACTCTGAGTTTCTGTCTGAATTGGTTTTTCACACGTTCTTTATACATGGGCAGGTAGGTGTCATTGCTGTTAGAGCGATTTTAGCCCACTGGTGGAGGTTATCTTCCCTCCCTCCAAGTCCAGCAGTGCTAGTGGAATGCAACGACCATTTGCACCTCAGCTGCTTTGGGTAAAACTATTGTGGCCGCGCTTTGCTGACAAAAGTTAAGTGTTGGACTTTCCAGTGAACCGGCCAAGACGTGAATGCACACAGTCTCCCACAGTAGGAGCACTTACACTATCACAACTGTTTGCTTATGTGAACACATGCCAAATTACTCAACTTTGCTGAGAAGCACAAAAGTTGATGCAAACTATAACCCATCTCTCAAGCCCTGAGCTTGGAGCATTGTCTCCTCCTCTGTCTGACTTCTAAGGGAGGGAAGATTTCTCTTGGCTGGCTGTCCTTTCTGCATCATTGGTCCCAGGGCTCAGTGATGCTCTGTAGATGCCAGGTCAACGTTACACTTTCTGATATTTGGGTAGGGCTTCTGCAACAGTTCTCATTTAAAAGGAAGAAAAGGGTTGCAGAGATTCAAAAACAGGCTATTTAGGGACTTTCTGGTGCCTTGGCGTAGATTGTGCCAATGTTAGAGCTGCCCAATGTAGGATAAAAATTGATTATTCCAAAGCCTTTTTTTTTTCTCTCTTTATTTTTTTATGTATGTTGACTTTGCCTCCAGACCCTGCTGTTTGTGAATCAAAGGGTACATTTCTTCATGAGCCATAATGGTTGCTTAGTGAATTGATTTTTGCCAGCATGTCTTTCCATTTAGCACTAAGACCTCTTTCTGAGATATATTAGGGATGGATCGGTGAGCATTTTTATTTTGAAGTCTATCCATTTGAAATTCATCCTTGCAGCTTCATGCTATTTCAGTTTAGTTTTGAACCCAATAGGTGGCTGGAAATCTGTACGTTTCAGAGCTTAATGTTTTTCTCCTATGTAATTTTTCTTTTCCTCCCTTTCTTTTCCTAGTGTCGTGATGTAAGGACAAGAGAGGTTGGAATTCAAGAAATTCACCATAAAGTGAGACCCTATCAGGTAAGATTTGTCTTTTTTTCTAGGAGCTTGTTTCAGACACAGTTTGTTATATGTGTTTGGTGTGGAGGCGTTGGGGCCCATTTGTTGCACGTCCAATCCTGCGGTTTGCCTTTGTAGCTGGATCCAATTTTCCATTTATTTTCGCAGCAGCTTTGGATGTCTTTTGTTTGAGCATAGTCACATGTTGAAATTTATGGACCACCATGTTCAATAAACTGACTACAGCCAGCAGTTATTTTGGTATTTGCACTGCTGTAACAAAATAAGCAGCTCTTTCTTCCTGCTTCTCAGCCTTCCCTTTTCTCCCTCCTCATTACAAATTTGGATTTAGAAAATACCAAAAATGTGTGTGTGTGTGTGTTAACAGGAATGAATGTTTAGCAAGAATTTACAGCCTTTTTTGTGAATGTGCATGTTTATGCAGGCAAATAGTATATGTATATATACAGTTCTGCACATGCATTTATAGGTGAGTAGATCCACTTAGCACATGACATATATGTTGTGTTTTTCCTTCCTAAAGTAGTCCACAAAAAGATTGCTATGCCTGTTTTATAAAAAGGAAAATCTGCAGTGCTGAACTTCAAGCATCCAATTTAGGACACTAATCCTGCAGATCACTGTAGGTACAAGGAGGGGTTAATCCTTCCAGAAATTTGTCAGGAGGTCCATGAGTGGCACCTGCGGGGATGAACTTTCTAAGATAACACAGGATTGGATCCATCTTAGTATACATGTATACTGTGGCCAATAAATCATACCCTGGAAGTATTCTCTTCCTTTGTTCATATGAAAGAAGGACTTGAAATGATTGTGCGGTTTGTCCATCATGTATCTCCTTTGCCTGCAAACGAGAATTCTTTGTGCCAGGCAGAAGACACTGCCACCCCCGGGTAGAAAGCTGAATCAGAATGACAATTACATACCTCTGTCTTCTCTGCAATGGGCACGTACCCACTTTCTAAATCACAGAATCATAGAATACCAGGTTGGAAGGAACCTCAAGGATCATCTGGTCCAACGTTTCTTAGCAAATGTGAGCCACTAAACTGGGGTTAGGCTTTCTATGTGTCAGCACAGAAAGAGATTCCTAACAGGAGTCCTCTCAGTTGTGCTTTGGAAGCTCCACTGATTATTCAGTCTTCAAAGAGGGTCGGAGTTTTGTGCCAGAAGTTAAGTAGCATGAATATTCTCTGAGTTTAGCATCTGAAAGATGTTCTCACTTTGCAAATCAGAGATTACTGGGAGCCATATTCTGGTTTTCTCCTGCCATTGTGTGAATTCAGATGAGTGCAATACTTCCCATCTTGCATAACAGAAATCCAGCACGGAAATCTATAGCGATCTCAAATAAATTATCTTGTTCTTACCAGATTTCTGCAAGAACTGAGGCTGTACGGGCTCGTTTGTACATAGGCCATGCAGCCTTTGTGCTTTGCTCCTGTTATCTCCTCTGTGGTCATTTCACGAAATATCTTCCAAAGATGTCCGTTGTCAGCAGTGCTAATCTGATTTAAATTGTAAATTCCTTCAGTAGTTAGCAAATAGTTTATCACAGGGTTTTCAAAGCAACGTTGTGTTGAAAATTCCCTTTGTTAAACTCGTCTGTCTGAGTGGCAGGAGGATGTCATTATGTAGTCTTCGCAAAATTTATCATGACAGCAAGCAAGAGAAATATTCTGAAGATGGTATAATTTTTCATGCGCTTTAGACTAATGACAAGATATGATGTTTTTCTTGGCTTCATAAGTAAACAACGCATCCTCTTGATAAGAGGCTATCATGTCAGATCTAAAACAAATTAATCGCTTGCTGTAATTAGTTACACTTCATGCACCTTCTTTCCGTTAAGGAAATAAGGCTGTATGTATTTTTACGATGGTGATGGTGTGTCTGCTTTTAAAAGTATATTTTTTTTAAATGGATTTGAAGTAGATTACTTGCCTGTAGCTGGTTATTTACAGAGCTGTCTCTAAGCTGCCTTTTCAATTAGCGGCGTTTCTCCGTAGCAGTGGAAGGTATTTGCTTGCTCTCGGGATGGTTAAGGCTGCACAGCGCTACGTAATAGCCTTAAAAATGCTCTAGTGAATTGTTGCTGTAAAGACACGTTGGACTGACGGTTTTTGAAAGGTGAGGGGCAATGACAGCTCTGTTACGGGCATGAACCTACGTTGGTGCTAAAGCAGAAAGTGTGAGACATAGAAGCTGCTGTTCCTGCAAAGCAGGGGGGTTTGCATCAAGGTAATGATCTCAGTATAGAGCCTTAGTAGGAACAAGGCAGATTTTTAAGATGGGAGTAGCTGTTTTAGGCTAAGAGTGTAATCTGCAACTGGATTTGCCCTTTGTTTGTCAAAGTAAGTTTAAAACGGAGTGTGCCGGACATTTAATAGGATTGCGTACGGACATGGTGATCTGGCCTGGGGGGGGTTATTCTTACCCAGCACACAGGATGGTTTACGGACGAGGGACTGGCCCCAGGGACTGCCGCACCTAGCTACGCACCAGCCGACCAGGAGGTGATGCAGGCTGGCTTCTGCCACCTTTATCCCAGCATCCCAGAAGGAAAAGGCTTTCTACGTCCCACCAGTCCCTGAAAACCTTTTGAGGGGATTTACGGATCCTAGGACCCGCTGTGCCCAGGGGAGTGGGGAGAACAAAAGACTTAATCCAGTAGGGACTTTTCTGAGCAGATCAGCTTATCTGGTACGTGCTTATGACGCTATAAAAACGTGCGCGCTGTAAAACTCCTGGCGCAGGTTCCTGTAGACTTGCTTCGCCTCTGTCTACAAGTGGTTTTCAGGCTGGAAGTGGGCATAGCAGGGCATGTAGGTCCTACTGCAGCACAAGCAATGGAGCCATGTTTTCTGCTTGTTTTGTTTTGTCCTCAGGAGCAACCGGGGGTTCTCCGATCTTGCCATTTCAGACTTAGTATAGCAATGTTTAATAATAGTTCTGCTTTTTTTTTTATACATCAGCAGCAAGCTTTAACCTAACCGCTTTTCTACAGATGAAACTAACTGCAGAATCTGGGCGTTGGAAAAAAACTCGTAATCTTTTCTTTTCCTGTACGCTTCCATTTTACTCGTGGCATTGTGTACCTAATGGTAGATCTGGATCAGTGTGTGTCAGCTGTCCTGACACACAAGCTGGAGTGGAGTTGTGCTCTTGGAGAACTTGGCGCATCGGCAGACGTCTGCTTGGGCGCTTAACCCAGGAGCTGTGCGTCGGCGTTGAAGTGAGCCTTGCTTCTGTAGTCAGTAAGGGATTTAATTGTGAGCTGTGTTCACCCAGGCTCTGTCATGGAGTAGAGCAGGCAGGCGACAGGATCCCTTACGGCTTTTCTGTAAACAAATCTTTAATTCATGGATTTCTGAGTATAGGAGGATTTGCAGAAAAAATACTGAGGTCCTTCGCTTTAGTCTCTATAGCAGTACTGGGAAGAGTATGGCAAGGTGGCAAGGTATCTGTAGGGGTCAGTCCTATACTGTACTGTAAATGTTAGAAACACCAGTGATCGAGGCTTCTCCTTGATGATAGTAGGTCAGGACTGTCTCAAAAAGAATTTTTTCCCCTTCTTTCTGCTCTCTTATCCACCAGCTATTCTTTATGTCTAGGTGCTCTGCAGAAGTTACTTCTTCTTCTACCTAATCATGGTCTTTTTTCTGTTCTCCACAGTCAGCCAACTCTCACTTTGCTTTTCCCTTCTACTTGATGTGATCTTCAAAACTGCCTTTATCTAGATTGTTATCAAAAATTCCATTTGAGGCAAGTAGTATGTCATTACTGGTCAGTTCTCAGGGTGCTTGTCTGCATGGTTTTGGTGTCTTCAGTACTATCTGAATGAGTAAGAAAACACTGCTTTTTTACAGAAAAAATTCTGTAAAGCACATGTGTAATTTATGGTGTGTTCCAAAAATACTTAGGACTCAATACTCAACACTGACTCTTTCAGATGTACTCCTGTTGCACAATAGTTAGCTCATGTAGGTATATCCTGTGCGTTGCTGGAAAGAACTAACAGGTAGTTAATTAAAGAAGTTGACTGCTGCTTAGAAAACCCACATTCTGTAGACATCTCAAACCTTTTCTTTTGCAAAGCAGTGGAGACATGGACTTAAATGCAGGTTTAGTGAAAGCAGATGCAAAACTACTCATTCTACATTAGCAAATTTGTAACTGGAGCTGAATTTCAATTAGAGCAAGTCCCTTGGTTAGTGGCAAGAGTTGTCGTCTGCCTGCCCCCCCTTTGATCTTGCAGTGATTATGGAACTAGGGTAACTCAAGAAACATAGGGTTTAGGTTTTTCATGTACAAACAGGTAACCGTGTGGGTTACGAGCCCTGATGGAAGGCTTGCCAATAGGGATAGAAGATTAGTTCTGTCCCACTGGCAAATAAATTTCTATTTAGAAATTAGTAGTTGCATGTTTTAGCTTTGATGTGACTGCAGTAACAGCAGTTCTTATCCAGTACTGCTAAGATCCATCTAGAATTCAATTGGCCTTTAAGAATCATAGCATCATTTAGGTTGGAAAAGACCTTTAAGATCGAGTCCAACTGTTAACCCAGCACTGCCAAGTCCACCACTAAACATGTCCCTGAGCACCACATCTACACAGCTTTTAAGTCTCTCCAGGGATGGTGACTCAACCACTTAAGAAAGCACTTCATGTTTTCTCTGAATCATAGTAGTTTGTGGATCCATGAAATTGGTTTTGGTTTGTTCAACGTGTTGCTTAAATATTTTTAAAGAAGTTTTCTTTTTTTCCTTTCCTCCTCCGATTTGTCACCGCTTCTTCTCTTTGACCAGATTGAATTAATTAGGCGAGATTATGTGGCTAATGGTGGCTGGGAGACCTTCCTGTCCTATGAAGATCCGGAGCAGGATATTCTTGTTGGTCTTCTACGGCTGCGGAAGTGTTCGGAGGAGTCATTCAGACCTGAGCTGAAAGGAGGCGTTTCCATTGTCCGGGAACTGCACGTGTACGGGAGCGTGGTCCCTGTCAGCAGTCGGGATCCTTCAAAATTTCAGCACCAGGTACTCCAAGCCGTCTTTATTTTTCATCTGTGCCTCTTTCTTGCACCCTGCTCCCTGCCTCCAGCATAATTGCAGAAGAGTTTTATTTAATATCTGAGGTTCATTCAATTGCTTGGATTATAGTCCGCTGCAACAGAAGCAGAATTGAATTTGAGCCCCATCTTGCATTTCACCTGCTGAAATCGTGCTGCTTCTGAGTTTTTGCTAGTGTGATCGTGTTTAGGCAATTGCAACTGCTCTGAGATAAAAAAGCATGGCTGAATGCTATCAGCGTTGCTTCGTGCCCATACAATACGAGCTCATGTATGCTGGTGCTAATTTGGCTTTCGAGTACTAAGCATCTTTGGTTCTGAAGCATCTTTCCTTTAATATCCTGTATGGTACATCAGACTCCACTGCAAACCGACTAAAAATGAAACAAAGGAGATACATCCATTGTGTCTCTTTATTTCCTTCTAAAATTTATCTTGTTCGACAGATGAATTTCACTTCTGAAATCTAAAATAATTACATATGGGAAGGTGAGATTTTATTTGGTACTACCCAGTTTTCTTCAAAGGAACACTTTATTGAATACATTCTTCCTACCAAAACAGAAGAGATCCAGGTTTGGTTCTGAGGTGTCTATCCATTTAAGTGATTTGGTGAGACTCCCGAGTAAAGTCTCTTAGTTGGGTCTGACAGTTTTTTTTCTTCAGACACATTTGTGAGGCCATTTCATACATATCTTAAAGCATGTGAAGAATGGAGTGGAAAGCTGTGTTTCTAATTCCTTGCAGTGACTTGTATGAAAATTGCACATTATCCTTCCGCTGCATGTAACATGCCGTGGCTTGCAGTGAGCAAAAATGTGAATTAAATTTTGCCTCGGTAGGTTTTGAACCTTTTAGACTGAGCTTTTAAAAAAGCAATCAGTTTGTCCTCTTTGCCAGAAGTGCTCGGGGCCGATGTTTTAAATTAAATTCCTTGTATTTATTAATCTTTCGCTGAGTATATGCATTAAGGTGCAGTTTTGCTAGATGCTGATGATGTGTGACCATAAGGCAGTGGCTAGGGAAAAAAAAAAAAAAGAAGAAAAAAAGGAGTGGATGTTTCCACTATAAAATATTAACACTTGAAAATTTAGGAAGGAGAAAGTGGTCATCCTAAGTATTTGAAAAAAAATTAAAATAAAATTTTAAAAAAGAGAGAAAATAAATTGAAAGTAGCCAACTACAAACATTAAAATAGGCTGCAAATTGAAATTTCACAGCGTATGACGCACTCATGTTCATTCGGAATAGTCTGTGTTCAAGAGGTTAATCAGAAAGTGTTCTTCACAGTTGTGGGGGCAATTTCTGATTAGAAGGATGTTTTAGAATGAAGATTTCTATGCGTTATTTAAAAATGCCTGTAAGTGTTAACTGTTTTTTAGAATTAAATCATATCTACTTCAATGTCGCCACAGCCCAATTCTGTACATCTTGTCAGGAAAATAGGTGAACAAAGAGCCGAGTAGAATTCCTGCATCCTAATGTTAGGAGTGAATTAATCCAATCAATTATTCCCAGATATATAGGACAACGCAGTTGTTAAATAGAGTGGAAAGGCTCTTCCTTTATTTTGAAGCATTATTGTGATTCCAGTAGCACTCCTGCTGTGCAAGATTTCCAAACGTGAATAGAGCCATGGATCTGGTCCAGAATATTAACATGTTCTTCTGCAGTTCTTTTTGATTTGGCGTCTCCTGTGTCACAGTTGAGCTTAAGAGAGCGGGACAGAGCTTGAGCCTCGCCTTCGTTTCTAAGGGTCACACAGCGGTTCGGTACAGCCTCTGTGCGTAGCCCCGACAAGCCCTGAGGTCACTGCGTGCCTCAATTCTTCATCCTGAAAGAAGCACGGTAACAGCTCCCGACTCCTGGAGGGGTTGTGGAAATAGAAGATTACAAGGCGCTACGGCAACATCTGTATTGGAAAAGTGAACAGCAGCAGGGCCCAGCTCTGGGTCTGTAGGGTCCGATGTCCCCGGTCAGAATGGCTCTGGGATCCTTCTGCAGTTTGCGGCGCGGGCAATTGCATCTGGTGTTTGTGCTCGGCTTTGTTTAATTCACTAGCACAAACCCAGGTCTAGTAAAGTAGCCGTTAAGACGGGCGGTTGTTCTTCAGGACTGGTTATCTCAGCAGGAGGACTTGTTCAGTGCCAGGAATTAAGGGGTGCCTACCAAGGTGACTTACCGTCAGTGGATGTAACTTCATTCTGTTCCTGCCATTGAGAAGCAGCCAGACACTAGAACTGCCTATGAATAATTCCGTGATCGGAAACAAAACCCTGAGAAAGCTCCACTGTAAAGCTTAGTGTTGGTACACCTCTTCTCAAGCCCTCTCCTGTAATATTCAGCAATAGTCCTGATCACAGGATCATTACTGTGCCAAAAATATGAGTCTCTTGGAACTGTACTAATGCTTACATTCTGACCTTGCTTATGCTTTCTATTTTTACAGGACTTATCTTTTCTTCCTGTTTTTTCTCCTATTACAGGGATTTGGTATGTTACTAATGGAGGAGGCAGAAAGAATAGCCAAGGAGGAGCATGGGTCATGGAAAATTGCTGTAATTTCAGGTACCTTTGCTTTATCCCCTTTTTTTTTAATATATATATCTCTCTCTTAATCTGAAAATAAACCCACTGCAGCCAACGCCACTGCTGTGAACATTCATCGTATTAGGTAGAAAATGAACATCAGCAGATGCTTCTTCGTAATGGAGTCAAATTCCATCGTAGCTTTTTCCAGACAATACTGTTATTGTGAGCAGCATTCCAGAGGACACGCTGCGGGGAACCATCCTGCTCTTGGTGCCGAAGGAGACAGCCTGCATGACCATGGGTGTCTTCCTTCTCCAAACGCTGCTATTTCCCACCTCTCTGATTTGGCCCTGTTGCAGGTTGTTACTGTTGAGGGCTTCTTTCCAGAGCTTATGAGGATAGGAAATTGCTGGCCTCCATTTTAGAGTCTTTCTGCAAGTACCGTCATTAGGGTGGACAGATGTGCTTTTAGGATACATTAAGCATTATCGTGAAGAAAGGAGCTATATAAGAAAGAGCTGCAGCCCTTTCTCCTATTTGATTTTCCAGGCATTGTGACTAAGAGTGGCATCAGTTCATCCCGTGTGCGTGAAGTCAAGGTCGGGACTACCTTTGTGTGTTAATTTATCTTATATTAGCAGTGATGGGAGCTGTAGAAAGCTTTTACAGGCATATAGGTTATATAACTGGGGAAGCGGGCGAACGGTATGGGAAGAGAAACTCTTGTTGGTGTAAGATTAATGTATGCTGAGGGACTTAAACAGAATAGCTCTATTATAGACAGTTTAAAAAAATAATAATTTTCTGCCACCCCACCGAAAACCCCTGTAAAGCAGAAAACCACAACTTTGATCCAAGCTGCTGAGTGCTGAAGTGAAGAGCTTCTCCGTGTGTTTCCAGCTGTGTAATGTTCCTGGATGTTGAAAAGCCAAAGTGGGCTATCTCGACAAGTACTTGTGACAGGGGCCAGAGCGTGAGGGAGGACAGCATGCAGGCAGTACCCAGATGCTTAAAGATAATTTTAGATCTTCTGGATTACCTATTTCTTGTTTGCTTAGGATATATGCCAGTCCCGTTTCCCTATTGCTGCTGCCTGGGTGTCAATTTGAACTGGGAATTTTATACCATGGAAAATATTGGACCTGCTGGAGCGGGGCCAGAGGAGGCCCCAGCGACGCTGCGAGGGCTGGAACAGCTCTGCTGGGAGGACAGGCTGGGGGGGCCGGGGGGGGGCCGGCCGGGGGCGTCCGGGGAGACCTTAGTGCAGCTGCCAGGGCTTGGAGGGGCTGAGGAGAAAGATGGGGACAGACTGTTTAGCAGGGCCTGGAGCCACAGCAGTGGCTAACGGTTTTAAACTGTTTAAAACAGGGGTAACAGTTTTAAACTAAAAGAGGGAAGAAATTTTTGGTGATGAGGGTGGTGAAGCCCTGGCCCAGGCTGCCCAGAGAGGTGGTGGATGCCCCGTCCCTGGAAACAGCCCAGGTCAGGCTGGACGGGGCTCTGAGCAACCTGCTCTGGGTGAAGATGTCCCTGCTCACTGCAGGGTGGGACTAGAGGCCTCTGACGGCCCCTTCCCACCCAAACCCTGCTGTGGGTCTGTGATGCGGTTAGGAAATGTCCATATCACGTCACTGCTCAGTAAAGAAGAGAGGCAAACGTGAAAATGGTTTCCTTCGGTTTTGCTTGGCTTTGGATGTGTGGAGAGAGGCAGTCGCGATTCCTTGGTGCTAAAGAACACTTCTTTTGACAAGAAAAGAACATGTACAGCAATTACTAAAAAATTATTTGTGACAGCATTCATGTTGCTAATTTTAGCTATATTTTAGTGAACTGATGTGAAGAATATATTCTTCGCATTGACATCTAGCACAAGAAGTTTATTTTGCTGCATGCACAGTTTGTGGCATCCTACTAAGACCTTGTCTGCGATTTTTTTTTTTTTCCCCCCAGAGTGCAAAGTACAGTATAGTACAATTTATGTTTGAATACAGAATACTACAGCATCTGCAAAGACCACAAGTTTTTTCCAGCTGTTTCCTTGGAGATGTTGCCACTTGAATTTCAGTTCTCCTGTAGGTTTTACCTGAAATAAAAATGCAGCCGTAAGTTCTTTCTCCATTGGAGGATGAACTTGGTTTTGCTAATTTTGGTTTCAAAATAAGATTTTTAATCTGGGAACCCACTGCAAGGTTAGATCTCCAACATATTGCAAAATTTTGACTACTTTCTAGAGAGAAGCATGTAGGGAGGACTGCTTTGAAGATGTCTCATCGGACTCATATCTCACTAGTACTGCATGTTTTTATGAACACTTTGTTGCAGTGGTTTTTTTTTCACAGTATCCTTTCTTCAGCAGTATTTTCCAGTCTTGCACGTCAGGACCACTCGATTAAATTGTGCCATAACTTGAAAACTGCGTCTTCAGGGAATGGGCCCTGGTCCACGCTGATGTGTGCACGCTGCCAGAGAACTGCGTGTGGCAGTCACTGCTAGTCCATTGGGGCTGAAACCTTCTCAGGGCTTCTGCTAGCAAAGTAAACAGAGTGGATGGTTGCATTTCTGTACTCTAACCATTTTTAGGAAAGTTACCAGTCTAACAATATTTAGGAAAGTTTAGGACAGTGGGATCGAGGGCACCCTCAGCACGT